CACGGTGCCCGGCTTTTATTTATTTTTTTTCTTTTAGTACTTCCTTGCTTCCTGGTAGCACAAGATGCTCCAGGTTTGTTTGCATTTTCTTTTTCTTAACCCTGGAATCAACCACTTCACCAGGGAGCCCCATTCTTCTTATTGGAGAATGGAATTTTTTTTTTTTTTTTTTTTTTTTTTTTAGACAGAGTCTCACTCTTCGCCAGGCACCAGGCTGGAGTGCAGTGACGCGATGTCGGCTCACTGAAACCTCCGCCTCCCGGCTTCAAGCAATTCTATTGCCTCAGCCTCCCGAGTAGCTGGGACTACAGGCGTGCGCCACCACGCCCAGTTTGGAGAATGGTATTTAGAAACCAAGATTTGGATGCTAGGTATGCTCCTAGGTACTGGAGTGTCACTGTTTCTAGCCCCTCTCAGTGAACAGAGCTAGGAAATAGTAACTCATACTTACAAACGTATTTTCATATCTACCTATTGATCTATTTACAAAAATGAGTTAATATTGATAACTCCAATGCCAACCCAGTGCCAAAGAGCTCATTCTAGCCTCCTGCTTCTTTCTTATTTGCAACTTTTTAAGTTTAAATCATTGATTAAAAATAAACTCAGTTTTGAATATGTCAGGAATTTGTCACACACATGAAATATAGAGAACAGTGTTCTGTATTACACTGCTTCAACAGTGATCAACATTTGGCCAATATTATTCCCTTTATCACCTAGAGTTGTGTTTTTTGGAATATTTTAAAGGAAATTTCAGACATCATCATATTGTTTCACTCAATTTTTTCAAATATCATTGCCTTTTTTCTTTTTTTGAGATGAAGTCTTGCTCTGTTGCCCAGGCTGGAGTCCAATGGTGCGATCTCGGCTCATCCCAACCTCCACTTCCCAGGTTCAAGTGATTTTCCTGCCCCAGCCTCCTGAGTAGCTAGGATTATAGGTATGCACCACTATGCCCAGCTAATTTTTGTATTTTTAGTAGAGATGGGGTTTCACCATGTCGGCCAGGCTGGTCTTGAACTCCTGACCTTGTGATCTGCCCACCTTGGCCTCCCAAAATGCTGAGATTATAGGGGTGAGCCACCATGCCTGGCCAAACATTGATTTTAAAAAATTAATAAACTGCATCTTTTAAAACAGTTTTGGCTTCACAACAAAATTGAGTGGAAAGTGCAGAGTTCCCATCCACCTCTCCCCCAACATGCACAACCTCCCACGCCATGGACATCCCGCACCAAAGTGCCACAATTGATGCACCTGCACTGACACATCTCATCACCCAGACTCCATAGTTTACATTAGATTTCACTCTTGGTGCTGTACATTCCATGGGTTTTGACAAATGTATAATGACATATATTCACCATTATAGGATCATGCAGAATAGTTTCACTGTCCTCAAAATCCTCTGTGCTCTGCCTGTTCATCCCCTCCCTTCCCCCAACTCCTGGCAACCACTGACTTTTCTGCTGTCTCCATAGTTTTGCCTTTTGAGACTCTCATGTAGTTGGAATCATACTGTATGTACCTTTTTCAGCTGGCTCATTTCACTTAGTAATATGCATTGAAGTTTCCTCCATGTCTTTCCATGGCTTGATAGCTAATTTCTTTTTAGCAGTGATATTCCATTGTCTGGATGTACTGCAGTTTATTTATCCATTCACCTACTGTAGGACATCCTAGTTGCCTCTAAGTTTTGGCAATTATGAATAAATCTGCTGTAAACTTCTGTGTGCAGATTTTTTTTTCCTTTTAGACCGGGTCTCACTCTGTTACCCAGGCTGGAGTGCAGAGGCACAATCATTGCTCACTGCAGCCTTGATCTGCTGGGCTCAAGCGATCCTCTCACCTCAGCGTCCCAAGTAGCTGGGACTATAGGCACATGTGATCACGTCCGGTTCATTTTTAAATATGTTTTTAGAGATGTGGTTTCCCTGTGTTGCTTTCAAAGTGCTGGCATTGCAGGTGTTAGCCACCATGCCTGGCCTCTTTGTGCAGGTTTTTGTGTGGACATAAATTTTAAATTCATTTGAGCAAATATCAAGTAATGTGACTGCTGGAACACATGGTAAGGATATGTTTAGCTTTGCAAGAAACTGCCAAATTGTCTCCCAAAGTGGCTGTACCATTTTGTATTCCCACCAGAAATGAATGAGAGTTCCTGCTGCTCCATATTTTCACCGTTACTTGGTGTTGTCAGTGTATTGGATTTTGGACATTCTAATAGGCATGTGGTGGTACCTCATTATTGTTTTAATCTGTAATTTCTTAATGATATATGATGCTGAACATCTCATATGTTTACTTACTATCTGTGTATCCTCTTTGGTGAGGTGTCGAAGTTTTTTGCCACTTAAAAAACATTATTTTTTACTCTTTTAGAAACAGGATCTTGCTCTGTCACTTAGGCTGGGGTGTAGTGGCACAGTTGTAGCTCACTGCAACCTTAAACTCCTGGGCTCAAGCAATACTCCTGCCTCAGCCTCTTGAATAGTTGGGACTGCAAGTGCATGCCACCATTCCTGGATAATAATAATAATTATTAATTGTAGAGAAGGGGTCTCCCTTTGTTGCTGAGCCTGGTCTTGAACCCCTGGCCTCAAAGTGATGCTCCAACCTTGGCCTCCCTAAGTGCTGGGGTTACAGGTGTGAACCACTGTGCCCAGCATTTTGCCTATTTTTAAATTGAGTATTTTGTTTTCTGGTTCTTGCATTTTAGGTATTTTTTTTTATTTGTGGGGGCTGGGGGTACAGGGTCTCACTTTGTCACCCAGGCTGGAGTGCAGTGGTACAGTCATGGCTCACTGCAAACTCAACCGCTTGGGCTCAGGTGATTCTTCTGCCTCAGCCTCCTAAATAGCTGGAACTTCTTACCTTGTTTTGTAGAGATGGGGTCTTACTATGTTGCCCAGGTTGGTATCAAACCCCTAGCCTCAAGCAATCCAGCCACCTCAGCCTCTCAAAGTGCTGGGATTAAAGGGATGAGCCATGATGCCTGGCTAAGAGTTCTTTGTATAATCTGGATAACAGTAATTTGTCAGATGTGTCTTTTGCAAATGTTTTCTACCGGTTCGTGGCTTCTCTACTCATTCTCTTGGCATTGACTTTCAGTATTATTGCTTTTTAATTAATCATTTTGAAACTCTATAGAAGTGTTTTTTTTTTAAGACGGGGTTTCACCATGTTGGTCAGGCTGGTCTTGAACTCCCGACCTCAGGTGATCCTCCCGCCTTGGCCTCCAAAGTGCTTGGATTACAGGCATGAGCCACCACGCCTGGCCTAGAAGTGTTTTTAAGTTTTTTTTTTTTTTTTTTTTTGAGACGGAGTTTCGCTCTTGTTACCCAGGCTGGAGTGCAATGGCGCGATCTCGATTACAGGCACGAGGCACCAAGCCCAGCTAATTTTTTGTATTTTTAGTAGAGACGGGGTTTCACCATGTTGACCAGGATGGTCTTGATCTCTTGACCTCGTGATCCACCCGCCTCAGCCTCCCAAAGTGCTGGGATTACAGGCTTGAGCCACTGCGCCCGGCTTAAGTTTTTTTTTTTGAGACAGAGTCTTTTTTTTTTTTTTTTTGTCTCTGTCGCCAGGCTGGAGTGCAGTGGCATAATCTTGGCTCACTGCAGACTCCGTCTCCTGAGTTCAAGTGATTCTCTTGCTTCAGCCTCCCCAGTAGCTGGGATTACAGGCACGTGCCACCATGCCCAGTTAATTTTTGTATTTGTGGTAAAGACAGGATTTTGCCATGTTGACCAGGTTGGTCTCGAACACGTGACCTTAGGTGATCCACCTGCCTTGGCCTCCCAATGTGCTGGGATTATAGGTGCTAGTTACTGCTCCTGGCCTTTAAGTTCATTTTTAAGAGGTTGTTTTTTTTTTTTTTTTTTTTTTTATTTGAGACAAAGTTTCACTCATGTTGCCTAGGCTAGTGTGCAATGGTGTGATCTTGGCTCACTGCAGTCTCCGCCTCCCAGGTTCAAGTGAGTCTCCTGCTTCAGCCTCCCGAGTAGCTGGGATTACAGGCATGCACAAACATGCCCGGTTAATTTTTTATTTTTTGTAGAGACGGGGTTTTGCCATGCTGGCCAGGCTGGTCTCAAACTCCCTAGCTGCAGGTGATCTGCCTGCCTCAGCCTCCCAAAGTGGTGGGATTACAGGCCTGAGCCATCATGCCTGGCCTCATTTTTAAAAGTTTGAACTCATTTTTTCCTTGTCCTTGAGTACGTCTTTCAGTTTGTGCCTTCTTTCCTCTTTGTCTACTGTCTTCATCTTTTCACGGCTTGAATCATTCAATAAACATGAGTGAACACCTACTATGTGCCAGTCCCTGTAGATATTGTGGATATGCTATGGAGTAAGACAGATAAGCTCCACACTCTCTTGAGTCTTCCTGAAGGGTCACATCTACTACATACATAGAAATCTTAAAAGAAATACATGCTTGTTATTTTAAAAAAGAATAAAATAGAAGTATATAAAATAGAATGTGAATGTTCCCCTCAGTCACCCTAATCCCATTCCTCTGCAGTCTCTACAGTTAATGGGTTGGGGTGTGGACTTTGATGGTACCTTCGGCTAAACCAAATCTGCATGACACGGAGGTCTCAGGTTGTGGCAGACCTGGCAAAAGTATTTCCAGATGGAAATTGGCACTGGTTGGGATGTAAAAGCCAAGTCAAAGCATCCCCATTCCCATTCCCAAAAGTTCTGATTTTGGTAGGCTTGCCTGACTGCTGCCTGCTGACCCTGGAAGTACTTGAGGCTTCCAAAATGTGTTCCTTGGAACCCTGGCTAGGATGCTGTTCTGAAATAAAGATTCCATGGTCAACGGAATTTGAGATATACTCTCTGTTACATTCCCTTCTCGGGGGCTCAATATGCATATCAAAACATCAAAGCTCTGAGAAGTCCTGCAATCACAAATCCTGTTTGTTCTAGTGTTTCATACATGTATTTAATCATGTCTTCTGTTTGTTCCATGGAACTGTAGTAAACCCATGTTGATCCCAAGTTCCGTGGAACTGACTCGGGGAGCCCAGGAGCCTGTGCTAGTCCATCTGCCTGTGGCTCTTGCACCAACAGCTCAAGCAGGTAAACAAGCAAAGTGTCCCAGATCAATGACTCAGTGATACAGCGTCCTATGCAACTGTGCTGTGAATACAGCATTTCTCCAGGGGATTTTGTATCTTGCTAGGGTGAGGTGAAGGCCTCCGAGGATGTGAGCTTCCCCTGAAAAAATCCACAGCAGATGACCAGTGAGGCAGATCGACCTGGCCACTACTCATGCAAGAACATTCTGTATTAAGGCCCTTGGCTTGTCAAACCCAGCGACCACTGAGGGCTCTAGGCTTACTTGGACATAAGGTTGGCTTGCACTCCAAATTCAATGCCTTCTAGAAATCCAAAGTACTCCTCAGAATTTCCATCATTTCCCTGGACACCATGCCCTAATGTTATCTCTGACTGCAGCTCCTGTTCCTACGGGTGCTGTCCTGGTTCCACGCCTCCAGATGGTAAATGTCAGCCCTTGAGATTTCTGCAAAGGGAACTGTTCACACCAAGCATGTGGTGCATGGGAGGTTTGGAGCAGGAGTGGGCATGTGAAGAAGATAGAGGAGAGGTCTCGGCAGCCGATGGTATACTAGGCAGCCCCATCTGTAGAGTCCCTGATCTTGGGGGCACCACTGGCCTCGGTCTCATCCAGTCTGGCTTCCTTTGCACGTGTTGCTGCTCTTTCTGTGTCTCTTCCTTTTCTCCCCTTCTCTCCACCTCCTTTGCTGGAGCAAGACTCCTGACTCACACAAGAGTTCAGCCCTATCTTTAGATCTCACCTTACTCAAAGGGGCTTATCAGGCCGGTGGTGAGGGAGTGTGATCTGTACAACCACAGGAAGTAGGTTGGCCTGTTGGAGCATGAGCTGTTTTTTTACTTTGTAGCTCTTGGTATTTGTTCTTTTGGGGTTTTCCAGTGCTTTCTGGAAACTGTGATTTCTCAAGCTGTAGGAATTGGAATCAGGGGATGTCCCAGTATGGGAGCAATGAAGGAAGCATAGACAGAGACATGCATGAGAAAGGACAATTTTTAAAATTTTTAATGAGAAAAAATTTCTTGGAAAAGATAATCTAAACAAAAGCCAAAAAAATCCAAGTTATAAGAAGAGTATGCAGTGAAAAGCAGGTCTCTCTCCCCATGTTCAGTCCCTTACTACTTGTTCCTAAAATGGCCACTGTCACCAGATTTTTATTGATCTTTTGGGAAATGTTTTGTGTGTATATAAACAGAAATGTATATGTATTCTCCCCCATTAAAAAATAAATGATATGGTGGGCACAGTTGTTCACGCCTATAATCCCAGCACTTTGGGAGGCCTAGGTGGGTGGATCACTTGAGGTCAGGAGTTCGAGACCAGCCTGGCCAACATGGTGAAACCCTGTCTCTACTAAAAATACAAAAATTAGCCGGGCATGGTGGCAGGTCCCTGTAGTCCCAGCTACTTGGGAGGCTGAGAAAGGAGAATCACTTGAACCTGGAAGGTGGAGGTCGCAGTGAGCCAAGATTGTGCCACTGCACTCCAGCCTGGGTAACATAGCAAGACTCTGTCTCACAAACAGACCAACAAAAATAAATAAATGTTGGCCCATCATACATATAATCTTACTTTTGCCTTTTAAAAATTTAACAGCATACCTTCACTATTTTACATGGAGCTACGGGATATGTATGTTCATAAACATATATGTTCATAAACACACACTCACAACACATACATATTTTATTTTTTCCCTTTTATTTGCACAAAAGGAAAACCTAGGTGATCCTCCTCATCAGCTGTTGGAGAAGGCTTCCAGGGCATGGGATTATCCAGTATGAGGTGGGATTCTGGGTGCCAGACATTCCTGATGTCAGATTTGGTGATGATGGACACTAAACATCGTTTCTGACCGCTCATAGCTGTGGCAGATTGTATCCTTCTTCCCAGTTCTCTTCCATTTGCTCTGTAACAGGATCTGGCTGCACCACCCCAGGCCACGGGACCTGGAGCGCCTTCCTGTGGGAGGAGTATATTCTTTCGCTTCCTCGGCTTTAGCCTGGGAAGAGGGTGGGAGTTGTACACACCAAGTCCAAGTCAAAGCCTGAAGAACCAGTGTGAACTTCTGCTTTGTGTCTTTGTCCGTGACCATGAGGATGGAGATAGGAGCTGGGCTGTTCCTTCAGCTTGGGTCTCAGACTAAGAAGACGTGGAATAAAGCCACAGTTGACCCACATCTTATGAATAATGTCGTGAGAAATAAACCATGCTTGCTGTAATCCCCTAAAATTCTGGGGTTGTTGGTTACAGCAGCCTAACCTGGTGAAAGGTGCCTTCTGCTAGGAGACAGCGTTGGTTGTGCTCAGTCACAAAGCATCAGGACAGCTCTGAGGACCTGGTTACTTGCTCACAGTGTCCTCTATTTGATCCGGATCGGCCGCCCATTGATAATCACATTGATAATTGATAAGCTGAGTTGTAACCCTAGCACTTTGGGAGACCAAGGCGGGCGGATCACCTGAGGTCAGGAGTTTGAGACCAGCCTGACCAACATGGTGAAACCTTGTCTCTACTAAAAATGCAAAATTAGCTGGGCATGGTGGCGCAGGCTTGTAATCCCAGCTATTTGGGAGGCTGAGGCAGGAGAATTGCTTGAACCTAGGAGGCGGAGGTTACAGTGAACTGAGATCGTGCCACTGTACTCCAGCCTGGGCAACAAGGTCAAAACTCCGTGTCAAAAAAAAAGAAAAAAAGTAAGTTTAGGGTGTTATTGCAGGAGCCAAGATGTACCACACTTAGTTACTTTTCTGTACTTTCTATATTACGCAGAAGTCCCAATGGCCATGAACTTTCAGGAAACTGTTTGGCAATGCAAAATAAGAGTTCTTAATAATGTTCACTTCTAGAAATCTAGCTCAAGATAATAATTAAAGAGGGAGGTTTGTCAAAGAGTTATTTGAAAAATTGGGAACCACCTAAATGCCCCATAACAGAGGAAGAGTGTACATACACTATTCTAATGAGGGACATTATGAAGCCATTAAAAATCAAGTTGCTGAACATTTAATAACATAAAGGAGATGTTGATGTTTTGATATTGAATAAAATAAACAGGACACAGAACTGTATATGCATGACAATCCTAATGTGCAGAACAAATTTGGGATTGTGCAGTTTATAATTTTATATCTTTTTTTCACTTACACTTGTGAATAAGCACTTCCCCTCAGTCATTAAATATGTAAATACATTTAAAAAGAAGACTGGGAAGGAAATAAGCAAAAATAGTGGTTATTCTAGTAGATAGCATTTTCTTTCCTGTACTTTCTATATTTTCTAAACATTCTAGGATGAATGTGTACTACTTTTAAAATAAAAAAATAAGTGACTGCTACTTAAAAATGAGAATTATTCCGGTCACCTCTAGGGCTGTGCCTTTGTGCTGTGGTTACCCAGGAGCCTTAACTGGGGCTCCTTGTCTAAGAATAAGCCTGTGTGTTTAATTAGGTCACTCTCCTGCCGACCTAGAATCTCTGCACAGGGCTTAGCTTGTGTTGCCCAGAACCCCTGAGGAGCCGCCCCTCCGAGGGAACTCTCAGCTTCTCACAGACAGGCACTGACTGCTTCTGTCTGCTGACTGAATTTGAGACTTCTGTGAACTGTCACTCCGACAGAGCTGCCACTCTCAGGCCTCTTCAACCTATCTTCTTTAAAAATTAATTCAGACGGTCGGGTGCAGTGGCTCATGCCTGTAATCCCAGCACTTTGGGAGGTCAAGGCAGGTGGATCACTTGAGGTCAGGAGTTCAAGACCAGGATGGCCAACATGGTGAAGTCCCCTCTCTACTAAAAAATACAAAAAATTAGCCAGGTGTGGTGGCATGCACCTGTAACCCCAGCTACTTGGAAGGCTGAGGTAGGAGAATCGCTTGACCCTGGGAGGCGGAGGTGGCAGTGAGCCAAGATTGTGCCACTGCACTCCAGTCTGGGCAACACAGCAAGACTCCCACTCAAAAAAAAAAATCAATTCAGACATATCTTATTGAAGAGAAAATGAAGACGTGGGAACATTTTAACCATTTTGGGATGATGAGAATTCATTCATTCATTAGTGAACAACAGCTGCTATGCCAGGCAGCTATTGTTCATTGTTCCCTATGGCCTTCCCCATATAACCTGTGTCACACACATTCAGGCCCTGGAGCGACTGGTATGTGGACAGAGGGCGTGGGAGAATTCTCAGAAGTCAAGCTGGCATGACAGCTGGAAGCGCTGCCCAGGAAGGAGCTTATCCCAAGAGGGAAAGGAGCTTGGCACGATAGCAAGGCCTTCAGTAGAGACTTCCTGGTCTGCTTTCCCACCTGCTGTTTCACTCACATCTTTATCCAGGTCTGGCCCTTGTGAGAGGGTGCAGTGTGCTGTGTGGGGTGCTGTGCAGTGTGGTGTGCATGTCTGAGCATGAGTGAGCGAGTGGGCGAGAGTCCAGGGTCCGCTGTCCACAGGGGAAGCTGCAGTGGAGTCAGGGAGCAGAACTGGGGACAAGTGGAAAAGGGACTGGCAGCCTCATAGGACAGAGTCTGTGAAAAAAATAGTACAGCACCATCCACTTTCAAAGATAGTCTTCCATAGCCATTTTACAATAACCCATGTGAACTGCTGGGTGACACCTTGGACCTTTTCATCTCCTAGGCTGCTCCACATCCGAAACCTTACATTGTGTCATCTTTAATGCTTGTAAATTCAGGTAGGAGGTACATACAGTTATGTACATGAATTCCTACGCCCACCGGTCTGTAAGATTCGCCCATGTTATTGTGGGTAGCGCGACTGGTTTTTCTTCATTGCTGATTCCACTGGGTTGACATGTCACCATTTATTTACCCATTCTGGAACTGATGGAGATTTGAGTTGTTCCCAGTTTGTGACGATGATGGATAAAGGTGCCAGGGCATTTTACACATGTCTTTTGATGGGCACGCACCATTGTCTTTTCTTTTTTCTTTTTTTTTTTTTTTTGAGATGCTGTTTCACTCTATTGCCCAGTGCAGTGGCATGATCTCAGCTCACTGCAACCTCCACCTCCTGGGTTCAAGTGATTCTTCTGCCTCAGCCTGCCGAGTAGCTGGGACTACAGGCACCCACTGCCATGCCTGGCTAATTTTTGTATTTTTAGTAGAGACGAGGTTTCACCATGTTGGCCAGGCTGGTCTCGAACTCCTAACCTGAAGTGTTCTGCCCGCCTCAGCCTCCCAAAGTGCTGGGATTATAGGTGTAAGCCACTACACCAAGCCCATACCATTGTTTTTGAGCCCACTTTCCTTCCTGTGGCCTCTTTGCTGCTCTTTGAGACTCTGGTCCTGCAGCTCCGCCAGGTTTCTTGCCCATCAGTGTGGCTGCTGCCCTGATTCATTTCTTTCTTGGCTGAGACTTGTGTAAGGGGTGTCTTTCACATGCCGTTCCCACATCTGCACCCTCTTCTCCCTCCTGACTCCTGCCCTGTCTCACCACTGACATCTCACTGGCCAAGGCCTCCTCTGACATTGCCTAGCGCAGGGGGCATTTGAACCTTCTCTCCCTCTGCCTTTCCGCAGCACTGTGCCTGCTCCAGGGGCTTGGGCCAGCCTTTCTCCTTTTGTTCCACTCCTCTGCCTGCTTCCTCTCGCCTCCTCTGCTGGTCCTCTCCTGTCTCCATCCCACCTGGTTGTTCCCGGGGCTCTGTTCTTGCCTCTCTTTCTGTCCCTCTCCAAAGGTCCTCATGCTGGATCTTTAGCTGCCAGAGATGCTGATATAACATCTCTCATCCTTGATCCCTAGGTCCAAAAACCTAGGGAATTTTCCAAACTCATTTTGTGGAAAACCTTGATAGGCTCTGACAGGAGGTTATTTGCTGTCCCTACGTAGCCACTTTGTGTGAATGAATATTCATATGTTGGCTGCAGGAATGTCAATGTGTTTGACTATGGGCTGCTGCCCCAGATCCCAGCAAGGGTGTGATCATGCATATACAGAGGAAATTATGTTTTATCTTCTTACACCCAGAAAATATTAAATCTAGCTGGGTGTGGTGGCTTGTGCCTGTAATCCCAGCTAAAGGCGGAGGCCAGTGTATTGCTTAAGCCCAGAAGTTCCAGACCAGCCTGGGCGACATAGTGAGATCCCTATCTCTAAAAAACTTTTTTTTTTTTTGAAAGGAAAATATTGAGGCCAGGTGTGGTGTAGAAACCCTGTTTCTACTAAAAATACAAAAAAATTAGCCAGGCTTGGTGGTGGGTGCCTGTAATCCCAGTTACTCGGGAGGCTGAGGCAGGAGAATCGCTTGAACCTAGGAGGTGGAAGTTACGGTGAGCTGAGATCGCATCATTGCACTCCAGCCTGGGCGACAAGAGCAAAACTCTGTCTCAAGAAAAAAAGAAAATATTGAATCTGAATATATTATCCCTAATGGTTTCAGATTAAAAATTGTAGACCTGGAACTCCCAAGGATGCCTCAGCCTAGGCCTCCCCAGCTCTGAATGGGGCCATTCACCCTCCTGACAAGTCCCCTTCCTTCTGGCCTCTCTGGGTGGGTGGCCCCATACTCCTCTGGCTTCTTAGACTCTAAGCCTCTTCCCTCACCACGATCACTACAGCTCATCAGCCCTCAAGTCCCGATTAACCCAGTGGGTCTCTGGCCTGTCCTCTCTTCTCCGTTTCCCATTAATTCAGGCTCTCAATAGTGCCTTCCTAGACTACTGCAGTGACTTCTCAGCAGCTCTGCTTTATCCGGGCTTCCAGTGCCTCCTTGAGCTGACACCAGAGGCAGCTCTAGAAACGTGGTGGAGCATCCTCATCATGCTCAAGATGCTGCCCGGCTCCCACCACCTGCAGGATCAAGGTTAAGCTCTTTAGTGGAACACAGGAAGCGTCCCGATCTGGCCTTGCTCCCCTCTCCCATCTCCCATGGGTCCCTGGGACTGGTTGTGGGCAGGCCACACCCTTCTCCCTATCACACTACTGTTGCTCTGCTAAGAATTCTTCATGTGGTCTGCCTAGGGGGCTCTCATTTTTCAAAAGAGAGTGGGCATCACCTTCTCCTGGAATTGCCTTCACTCCGGGCCCCTACAAAGGCCAGGTTTTGGTGAAATACAACTCTCCTGTTGATGTCCTGCATCTATATTTTATGCCCAAAGCCCCATGTCTGTAATGGAATATTCTAGGAGGAACTGAACTTGCCGTCTCAGTGTCACTTCTCTTGAGGCCCATGGCTCATCTTGCTCCCCTCCACACCCCTGCCCTGTGCCCACTACTGCTCCCAGAATGCTGGGCTTGATGAATTCTTCTCCTCACAACATTGTGACAGTCCCGTCTGGAGGAAGATTGCTTGAGCTTGAGTCCCGGACAGCTCCCCAGTTTTTGGCACCTCTTCCCATTCAAACTCATAAACCTGATCCCAGCCCAGACTTCATCCACAGACAAATGAATTCCATCCTTAAGGCTTCCTCTTCCCCTCCCTCATCACACATCACTCTGCAAGCCAAAGGGCTTTTTCTCCCAAATTTTCTTTAACCTCTCCCCTCCTAGCATCACAGCCACCGAGGTCTGATTCAGGCTCAGCATCCCTTGCCCTGCTCACTGCAACAGTCTCCAAACTGGCCTCTGCCCTCTCCACATGTTTTCCTCTATCCCAGGCCAGGGAGATCGACCCCCCATGCACAGGGAACCAGGTCACTCCTCCTCTTACCACTTTCCACAGATGACCTGTCACCACAAGATAAAGACCCTGAAGAGCTACTGCAGCGTGCCCCAGCTCATCCCTCACGCCCTGCTACTGCATTCCCAGTCACGTGTGCTGCCCCTCTAGCCAGGCCCGTCTGCTTGCTATTCCCACCCACTGGCCAGGCTGCTGCTCAGCACCATTAGTGGATACCCTTGCATGAGTGCGGCACCACCTGCCCTTGCCTGGTGGCGTATTCTTTAAGGCTTCCTTCTCTGGAAAGCTCTCGCTGAAACCCTGGGTACTCAAGGGCATGGGCTCATCTTTTCACTGTTTCCTAGTTACACATGCTGTCTGTCTCCTCCTGTGACTGTGAACTCCCTAAAGGACAAGTGGCACATCTTACTCATAGTTTTGAACCTAGCTTCCAGCGCAGATGTGGCGGGAGGCAGATGCGTAATCAATGCATGTTGTCTGACTAGGATGGTTTATAAACAGGAGCCGTCTGGAATACCCAGATCTCAGACTCCCAATAGCTTCCCTTTGCTCTGGACTCTGCCCTGGCCCCTCCTTACCTCGCCCACATCCTGCTGTGTGGATACTCACCCCTTCCAACTCTGAAGGTTGCAGGGAGGGGGACCGTGGCTCTCTGTGGGAGAGGTGTCCCAGCTTTTGCTCTCAGCCTCCCCTGGCTGAACCTCAGTGGGAGCTGAGCAGATTTTCTGTGGCCTTGGATGCCTTCCTTCTGCCCCAGATCTTGCCTCGGCGCTCTACTGCAGCTCCCTGCCCTCTGCTGCTGGACTGGGAGGCCTCCAGCACCCTGCCTGACATGTTCCTCCAGGAGAGGAAACAGCTGTCTCCTGAGCCTCCGGCGCCCTCCACCTCCCTCCATCCTTAGATGCTTCCCTGGGGAGACACGACTTGTCAGCGCTGCACAGCTGCTGGGATGAGGCTCCCTTGGTATTCCAATTTAGGCGTAAATAAGGCTTCACCCCCTGAGGGGTCAGTTTCATGTAAAAGAGAAGTCTCAAGAGCCTTGGATTGATGGCACTTGGGGGATCCCTTGGCTGCTGGCCTCCCCTGCCTTCTCTGGGCTGTGTAGTGACATTCCTGTTCCCACCTCTCTTCCACCCCTCCCTAAAATTGCAGGCTCCAAGGGCTCCATCCTGAGCTCCGGGGCAGTGTCTGCATGCCCTCTGCCCAGCCCTGGTCCCAGTATGCCCACCCAGGCCACACAGGTGCACCCTGTTACCCACCCACTCACCTACGCTCACACATGCATGCCAGCAATCATATGTTGTCCAGGTTGGTCTTGAACTTCTGGCCTCTAGTGATTCTCCCACCTTTGCCTCCTGACTCACTAGGATTACAGGCGTGAGTCACTGTGCCCAGCAACACTTTTTAAATGGATGCGGTTTAAGAGGAATGCTGGCTGGATTAGTCTTATTTCCACTTCCCTGTAATAAAGGAGAGCTGCCAAGCTGGGGGCTCAGAAGAAGGAGGGAAAAAGTGGAGAAGAACTTCAGGACAGCTGGAAAAGGGGTCTTGCAACATAGATCCTCTTTTTAAGAAGTGTGGAAATAATATCAAGTTTATGAAAAGTTGTAAAAGTAAAAAATAGTACAGACACCATCCTTACAGCCTTTACCAAGATGTACCTGTTGCTAACATTTACTCTATCTTTGTTTTTGTCCCCTGCTCTCTATGAACACACATGGGTATGTATGTATGTATGTGTGTGTGTGTGTGTGTGTGTGTATGTCTTATGTGTGTGTGTATGTATGTATGTGTATAGACACAATTGTTTTTCCTGAACCCCTTGAAGGTAAATTACAGTTACACTCATCATGACGTTTTTTCTAAATTCTTTAGTATTTCCCAGGAATAGGAATATTTTCTTACGTTATCACAGTGTAGGCATCAACTTCATAGCTTTACATATACAGCTTCATAGGGTAGAACTGTCATCTAACCCACCACCCAGATTGCAGTGTTAGTTGTTGACCGCATCACGTCCTTGGCACTAAACGTGCCTGCAGTACAGGATTCTGCGTAGGCTTGACTATTCCATTCAATCACCGTGGCTCTTTAGCTTCCTGTAATCTGGAACATTTCCTATGCCTTTCTTTGTCTTTAATGACATTGAGAAGTCAAGGGACTTTTGTGAGGGGCTGGGGCAGAGGCGGTTTTGCCTATTGATTAAGAATACAGATGCTGGCGTCCAGTGGCTGGGACCAGTCCCACTCTGCCATTTATCAGGCTGGTAAGTGTGGGAGAGTTGCTTAACCCTTTTGTGCCTCAATTTGATCATTCATCAATCCAGTGAACAGTTAGCCTGTCTCATGGGGCTACTAGGAGGCTTGGCACACAGTAAAAACAGGGCAAGCATTCACTTACTGTCGTGGTAGCAAATCACCTTTTCTTGAAGGGGTTCTCAGTGCATCAAGCCCCACAGGGGTGCCTCAGCATTGGCTCAGGGGTCAGGACCAAGCAGCCTGCAGCCCTCTCTGGCTGTACATGCAGTTATCCTAAGGACTCTGTGGTCTGGACAAGCAGCCATATTCTAAGATGGTAGCAGAGACGATGCCAGCCAAAGACTCAAAAGGGATGTGGCTATCTCAACAGACAGCAATGTGGGGATCCAGGGCCCTCCAGGAAGTGAAGCCCTTCCCGTTGATCAGCGTGGCTGGGCATAAGTCCCACATTGTTGAGTCAACTCCAGGAGAGGTACCTGGAGAAGGGACCCGAGAAACTACTGAAGTGACGAAGCATACCTGAATGTTGCTGGATGGCTTCACCACCCTCAAGTGCAGAGACTTCGAGATGGAGCCTAAGCTGAGCTATAGGAGAGGCAGGTTTTGTACAGCTGTCATGATGCCTCCCAGTGGAAGGGCTGAGCAACTCCTAGAGAATTCTCCTACCAGGTATTTACTCCTTCTCTTTTCTGACCTAGAGAGGAACCAGGCAATGTGGAAAAGGGGCTTAAAGGCTTTTTTCCCATGAGAAAAGCAGAGAGCATGGAATAATGGGTGGAAGGGACTGCAGACAGCCTTCTGATTTCTGAAGCTCAGTTCTGCCCCGACACCCTCCATGAAGGCTGCTGTATATAGGCTGCTAACCATCAATCCGACTATCCATGAATCTAGTCATCCAACTGTCTGCCTGTCCATTCATTCATTCATGCATCCACCCACCTCTCCATCCATCCTCCATTCCTCCATCTGATGGGGAAACACATCTACAGCATCTATAGCCTTGCCTCACCATCCTAGTTCAGTCATGCGGGGCTTGACCACAGGGATATATTCTGAAAAATGTGTCGTTAGGCGATTTCAGCACTGTGTGATGTCAGAAAGTGCACTTACACAAACCTAGACGGTACGGCCTGCTACCACCTCGGCGGCAGGGTGCAGCCTGTTTCTCCCACCAGCATCTTCACAAGCATTGGAGTGACGCTTTGCGTTATGATGGTGATGACGTCACTAGGCCATAGGAGTTGCTCAGCTCCTTATTATCTTATGGGACTAAGTGGCATATGCGGTCTGTCGTTGGGAAAAATATTCCACAGTGCAAAACTGTGGTTGCTCGTCTGGCTTTGTCAAGGAAGGAGCTATTCCATAGATATGTTTTCTTGTTGTTGTTCCAGATAACTTTTGTCCTTTTAAGAGTGCCACCTTCATTTAGTTTAGCCATTTTGGAGAGAAAGTGCTGAAACCGACTGTAAACTTGTCTTTCTTTCTCTCTTTTTTTTTTTGAGACGGAATCTCGCTCTGTCACCCAGGCTGGAGTGCAGTGGCATGATCTTGGCTCACTGCAACCTCTGCTTTCTGGGTTTGAGCGATTCTCCTGCCTCAGCCTCTAGAGTAGTTGGGATTATAGGCATGTACCACCATGCCTGGGTAATTTTTTTATTTTAGTAGACATGGGGTTTCACCATGCTGGGCAGGCTGGTCTTGAACTCCAGACCTAGTGACCCACCTGCCTCCACCTCCCAAAGTGCTGGGATTACAGGTGGGAGCCACCGCACCCAGGCCTTGTCCTTCTTTTTAAAACAGGGCCTTAACTGAGTTAAGTCTTTTAAGTTAAGTCTTCCTGGATGATCCAGGTCACCCCTCCAAATGGAAGTCACATGATTCATTGTGAAGCCAGTGGTATGGGCCCTCAGGGAGTATTTGGAACTCTACACTAAATGGCCCCAGTGGCTCTGCTTTTTGACACTTTCTTTTGTACTCCCCGCCCCCCATTCTGAGATCCCAGTTATCTTCCCAATGCTTATAGCCCTTGGCATGCTTCTAGCAATGTCTTCTCTAAATGGCCTTCAGTTGGAAAATTTGATAACCGAAAGTGTTAGAATTGTGCATAAAGCAAGAGTACTGAGTTCTTTCTTTATGAAAGACTCTCATTAGTATAAAACAGAGCCTCCTGCCTTTGTATCCCGTTGTTGCCTCATTCTGGGTTCTCTGCTACCCTCCACGCCACTGCAGTCTGTGAATGCAGAAGCCCTAGGAATGGGGAGGGCTACATAGTGGGCGGGAATTGCTCTTCCTAGATCCTTGCTGCTTTCGCTTTAGAGAAAACGATGAGATACCAGAGCCTGTTCTGACTGAATCCACCTTCAAAGGGGCTGGGGGAGATGGGAACAGGGTGGGGCCAGCTGGGTCAGTGGTGCCTGAAGCTTTGAGAGAGAGGAGAGTGGCTGGGCCCCACTGGTAGTGTGCAGGAAGCTGAGGAAGGGACCCCTGCCTCCTCCTCACTCTGGATGACAATGGCCAATGTGGACTGGGGAGAGCCCAAGGGTCTGGTCTCCCTTCAAGGCCCAAAGCAGGACTGGTACCAGCGGTGAGATGGGCACCTGGGGTGCAGGCCAGGAGTCTCAGCCTATAAACACCCCACATGCACACAGGGACTCCTTTAAATACACAGCTATGGAGACACCCAAAATGCAGATGAGCACTTGCACTCACAAGGGACACACTTCCACAGGTGCAGCAACCATCAGGAAACTGACCACACACACTCCGGCGGGAGGTCTTCCTCACTTCCCTCCCTCCACCAAGATCTCTCCCCATCACCACGGACACAGTACAAACACATTATCTCTGAATTTGGACACTGGGGCCCCATTTCAGAAGGTCACAACCTTCACACCAACTGCACGTACTTGTTTACAGGGGCGGATGCCCATAACATGTCTGCATGGTGGGACAGCAAGCTGCCGATTGCCCCCACACACTCAGACACACACTTGCACACGTGCTCCCACACGCTTACACACACACTCACACTTGCCCACACACTTGCGTTCAGACACACATGGGTCCAGGCAGGGCCCTGGCTTGGTCCGACCTACTTCCCCCATCCTTTCTGCAGCTGCAGGTGGTGCTCTGCTCTCCTCTGCTGGGTCCGTCCTCAGGTCTTGGATTCTGGGTCGCTGGCGGGCTGATGCCAACATCCTCCTCCCTCTCCCCCGGATTTTTGTCAACTGCAGCCTGATGCTGGGGAAGATTCGTTGCTTTGGCTTTGACATGGACTATACTCTGGCCGTACGAGGGCTGTAACACAGTGTATTGGGAGCTGGAGGGAGCAGGGGCCGGGCAGCCAGGCAACAACTGCCTGACTCCGCTAAGGCGCCTGAAGCCTACAAGCCCCCAGCCTATGAGGCCCTAGAGTTGAGCTGCTGCTGGAGTGCCTGGTGTGCAGTGGGTACCCACTCGAGATCCTGTGCTATACCTACAACCCCACCTTCCCCACCAGGTGCGTGACTCAGGACAGGTGGGAGGTCACTTGGCCTTGGTACCCCCCCCGCCAAGCCCCCCCACCCCTGCCTCTGCAGGGAGCTGGTGTTTGATGCACTCTGTGGGAACCTGCTGAAGGTGGACACCCACGGGAATGTGCTGTTGGGTGCCATGGCTTCACCTTCCTCTCAGAGTAAGGGACAAAGGGTGCCGGGAGGGTGGCAGGTCAGCAGGGGAGGACAGAAGCGGGGACGGAGGAAGGATGCAGGCCCACGGTGGAGGCTCAGCACAGAAGGGATGGGTGGGGGTTGGAAGGGATGGCTAGAACCTGGACAGGCCTCTAGGAGGCATTGGGGCGGGGGCACTGGCTGCACCCAGCCTACCCCCTCCTCAGGGCAGAGAGCTGGAGCTTCTACCCCGGCAAGTTCATTCAGAGGGACGACCTGCAGCGCTTCCACATCCTCAACACACTCTTCAACCTGCCTGGTGGGTGGAGGGTTGGCGGCACCGGGAGGTGGTCCTGAGGGGCCCAGCTCTGGCCTGGTGGGGAGCTGCCTGGGTCCCTGGACTGACAACTGACCGGCCTGTCTGCCCCAGAAACCTACCTCTGTGCCTGCCTGGTGGACTTCTTCTCCGGCTGCTCCTGTTACACCAAGTGTGTCTTGTGTCCTGCCCAGCCCTGGGGTGACCAGCAGCACACTGCCGCTGCTCAGGGACCAAACCCCAAAGTGGGGAACCCCTGAAGGGTTCCCCAAGGGGCTTGAGGGGTTCCAGAAGACCTCTACTGCAGGGTGGCACCCAACCCTGTCACTGGCGCTGCCTGCAAGGGGTGACCCTTAGCCCCAGGTGATGCCCCTCCCAGGATGGTTGGGACATAAGCCCACTGAAGGCTCCAGTGTGGCTGGTGGGGTATAGCACTCAGGGTAGGAGGTTACTTCAGGCTCCCTTATTGGCATCCCCTGTCCCCTCTTGGCCTGCCCCAGCTGTGACACTGGATATCAGCATGGGAACCTCTTCATGTCCTTCTGAAGCCTGTTGCAGGATGTGGCTGATGCCATGAATAGTGTCCACCAGCAGGTGAGCGAGTGTTCCAGGACCCCCGGACCCCTGACCTGTCTGCTCTGGGTTCTCCTGGGCAGCCTCCGGCCTCCAGTCCCCATAGACTTTCCATCCTCTTCCCACTGAGGACTGTGGTCTAGTCTGGGCTTCCCAGAGCCGCCCACTCTCCTCATCTTGACATAGACATGTAGGTGGGTACACACACACACACACACACACACACAGAGACAGACAGACACACACACACACACACACACAGAGACAGACACACACGCACACAGAGACACTTCCCTGGCTTTCTTGGAGGTTTAAGCTGCGCTCTGCTCCCAGGTGGCTCAGGGTCTTTCTGTGTGTCCTGGTGCCTCCCTGCCTGGGCTGGGGTGGCTCCCAGAAGGCTGAAACCTGAGGAGGGGATCCCAGGGCAGCGCCGGGAGTCCCAGCCCTGCAAGTCCCTCTATCTCCGCCCCAAGCACACCTCCCGTGCTGCTGGGGAAGGTGAAGGAGGTTGGGAAAGTGTTTTTGGCCACCAACGGCAGCTAACGCTACGCCGACGTGAGTGTGTGTATTGAGGGGTGGGCCCTCGGCCTCCTCCCTGGCCTCTGGGGACATGGAGGCATTGCAAACAGCAGTGAGGGGCGGGAGGAGCCACGACCCTTCTACCCCCAACACTGGACTGGTCTCCTGGGCTCCATTTTTTTGGCCTTTCAAGACCTCAGGGGAATGAGTAACTTTCTCACCACCTTGCTCCTGTGGTCACCAGGGTGCCAGGGGGATGGTAGTAAGGGCAGAGGTAGGCAGTGGCCCAAGCTTGGTTCCCTGGCCCTGCCCTGTCCTTGTGACCTACCTGTTCAGCACCAGTGAGGTGAGTGCTGGAGTGATGCATGCACAGCTGGGGTGGGCTGTGCAGGGGGCGGGGGCGCCAGGCCACACCGCGATGCTGAGGGCCTCTCCCATGTCCAGCCTCCCTTTGAGCAAGACCCAAGTGTGTGAGTGGTCATTTCTCATGAGTGGAAGCTCCCAAGTGGGTAGGAGGCTGGTGACCTCAGCCAGGCCCTGGGAGGAGCCTTTGGGGACGACAGGAGGCAGTCAGGTATGTGAGGAGGGGTGGTGGAAAGCAGGGAGGCGAGGGCATGGCAGGCCAAGGGGACGAGGGGTGCTGGGGCCTGACAGTGATCAAGTGTCATGGGGCAGGCAGCAGGCCCCTAACTTGGTAGCTGTGCTGGTGCCACCTGTCCCCAGGTCTCTGACTGTGCTGTGAGGGGCTCTGGAGGCTGTCCTGAGAGTGCACATGATGGCTCACACCCACCTCCATAAATTCCTTTCGAGCCCTTTCTAGTGCCCAGCTTGGCTGGGGATGCTGGGCAGCGAGACCTGGTTCCCAGGGGCTGGAGAGGTCCCATCCGGCTGAAAGGTTGGTGGGGAGAGGGCAGGCTGTGACGGGTAACCGGCTGTAGCAAGGTCAGATTTACCAGGCTGTGTGTGAGCGGCCCCTGTGCACCCCCAGCAGGCTGAAGCCTCGGCCAGCCCCTGGAGGTCCTACTTCGACCTGATCATGGTGGACACGCAGCAGCCCTGCTTCTTTTAGGAAGGGAGGGTCAACATGGTAACAGCCGGTGCAGAGGTCCATGGACCATAATTGGGGAGGGCAGCCTGCCTGCCCCTTGACTTGACCTGCCTTTGTGGCTGGCAGCTCGGCTGACCTATTTGTTCCTGGAGGCAGGGAGCCAGAGGCCTCCTTCAGGGCCCTCTGCTGCCTCCTCCCACGCCTCCCTGGTTACCTCTGCCGCTACCAGCTTCCTCCGACGCTCCCTAGTTAGAGACCAAAGATGCGGTTCTCCTGGCTCCAGGGCACCCCTCTGCCCCTCCAGGACTTGGGGAAGCTAGGCGTGAGCACCTACACAGGGCCCCACCAGCACTATGCTGTCTACTCTGGAGGTGTCAGCTCCCACCACGCCCCCACTCCTTCCCAGGCCCTACACCTGCCCCAAGCCACTGCCCCAAGGCAGGAAGGGCGAAGGAGTCTGTCCTCGCTTGGTGGGGCAGGCTCGTCCGACATGGTTTGTGAGCTCCTTGGGGTTTGGGGGAAGGACATCCTGTACATTGGGGACCACATTTTTGGGGACATTCTCAAGTCCAAGAAGTGGCAGAGCTGGGGGACTTGCCTAATGGTTCCTGAGCTGTCCTGGGAGCTGGACATCTGGGCCCTGGAGAAGGGTGAGCTGCTGGGGTTGGGAAGAGCCAGAGGGCACTGGCTGCCCATGCAGAGGCCCCAGCACTGCCTTCTCCCTTTCCCCATGGGGGCCAGGAATCCTGGCCACTGTTGTTTCTGAGGGAGGAAACAGACACCCAGAGAGGGTAAGCAGCTTGTCTGAAGCCACCCAGCCAGTAGGGGCAAAGCTGAGAGTCAAATCTGCATCTCCTGACCCCAGAGTCCTGTGCTGTTTCTGCAGGCCGCACTTTCCTCCTGCACCTGACCCCACTCTCCCCACCCGCCCTGAGGACATTCAGTGGGTCGAAGGTACACAGGCTCCATCCAGGAATGACTTGAAGTCATCCTCCAGGGCAGGGGGTCGTGTGAGCCCCCACAATTCGGGGTTTGTCCTGAGAGCTGAGGCTTTAGGTTTGAGTCACCTGACTACCTCACCCATCCCTTGGGGCCTACAGGGCCTACGCTGTCCCTGCTTCAGTCTGAGCAGAGCCTCACCTGATATAAGGGGCAGGGGTGTTATGCACACAGCTGGGGGAGTGCAAGTCCGCAGCTGGGCCAGGGCAGACACAGGCCGGCAGGGCCAGTGGGTGACATAGGCCGTCACTCACCCCCACTGACCCTTAGTGGCTTTTTAGAGCAGTAGGAGGAGCTGAACAGGCTGGACATGTGCCTGGTGGACCTGTATCAGTGAGACCCTGGCCTTTCTGGGGGTAAGATGGGGGGCGGGGAGAGGGATGGAGGGACAGTGGCTCACATCCCTGCCTGGCAGCAAGGTCCCAGCCAAGGTTGTCAGGACATCAAGATCTGTTTCAGGCTGGGCTTCTCTAGCAAACTGGATGTGGGGACCCCTCTCACCCCCTTGGGACTGCTCACACTCTGTGACCGCTAGGCCCTTCCTCTGAACCCGTCCAGCACTCAGGGACCTTCCCTCACACGCGTGCACACACCAGCCCGGCACCCACATGGGATGCTCGCAGGGCGTCTTCCCCCTGACCCCTGTGGGAGTCTAAGGAGACTGTCCTGGCACTCAAGCTCTGTGCCTCCCCTTGGTTACCAGGCTATTTTTGTACCAGGCACATAGATGGGAGCAGTTGTGAGCTGTAAGTCATCAACTTCACTAAGAGAGATCCAGGTGACAGCTGGGTTTCGAGGGAGCAGGGGACCAGGCCCACTGGGGGCGGAGCCTACGTCCTCTGTGCCAAAGGCCGGGTTACCTGATTCTGCCCAACATCGCCCGGGCTCCACCTGCCTTGTCAGCCAGCGCCCTCTGCTGGCCAACGTTCCAAAGGGCAGCGGTGCCCTGTTGAAGGGCTGAGCTGAGCCTGATTTGCAGGCCTTGCCTCCAGTCCTGCAGTCCTTGTCAATCACCCTGCCTAAGAAGTACCTGCATGCTGGCTGGGCCCTTACTGACTGACTAGCCAGTTCTGATAGGAAATGTGGTTGAGGACCAGTGAGCCCAGCGTCCTGGGAAAAGAGAAGAAAGGACAACGTTCCCCTGTGGCATTACTGACCGGCCACCAAAAAGCTGGAGGTGCCCACGGCCGACCAGGTGGAGGGAGTCAGGCCACTTGGTCATCCCAGTCCAGCCAGGGCCCATCACAAAGGGTCTTTGCAGAGCCTTTTACAAAGCACAGCTGTCTGATCTTCCCACAGGCTTCTGAGGTGGATGGAGCACGGATTGTCACCTTTATATTACTAATGAGGAAACTGAGCCTCAGAGAGGGGTCACCTTGGGAGTAAATGTTGGGACTGTTCTCTAGGCTCTAAAAGCAGGGCCTGGTTGTGGGGTGGGACCTGATAGGAAGGTGGAAGCGGGGCTGGGGTGCGGCCTTTGCCAAGTCCTCTGTTGGACTCATAAGGTAAATGAGGCTGTGGTTTAGTCCTGGGTGGTCCACCTCCAGGGCCAGGCAGGTAACTGTGAGGGAAAGCTGGAGCGGGGCCCGTGGCAAAGTAGGGAGCTGCCCCACCTCCAAAAGCCAAATGTGCAGTCTGTAGGTCTACAACATGCTGCTCCTTCCCTACAGAGGGGCACAGGCCTCAGTGTCCCCCAGGGAGGCCAGAGTTGCCCAGAAAGGGAGAAGGCGAGGGCAGGCCCATGTGGGCTGGGATTTCAATTCAACGTGTTGCTCCTGTGGCCAGAAGGACACCCGGGAGAGGACCTGTGCTACAGCACCACGGGCAGCCTGTTCCACTGCCGTTTCCACCAGACACTCTTCTCCAGCCAGCTGATGTGCTACGCCAACCTCCACGCTGCCACCTGCTTCAACTTCCTGTACCACTGCTCAGCTCACTGTTTCGGGCTGCCCCGGAGTTGTTGGGTCCCTGCGGAATCTCCACAGCTGTCCCTGAACATCCATCCTAGAAGGACCCACTGGTTCCCAGCCTTGCTAGGAGGTCACAAGGTCACCAGACCCAATCTCCCACCTTCAGACTCAGTGGGGTCACAGCCTTGCAGATAACTGTCGAGGTCTTAACAAATGCATGGGAAGAGTTAGGTTTATATAGATAAGATGCCTCTGCGGGGATGTTCTTCCTCATGCCCAAACTTAACTCCTGCATTAGATTGAGACCACACTATCTCATCATTTCCTTGGTAGAAAGGATACCAGTTGCAAGGAGGAAGGCACAGTCCTCCTACCCTCAGTAAACATACAGTGGCTTCCGAGGAGGCGGCAGATGATACAGCAATCTGCTCTGGCTGGTTTTCCTCTGGGAGATCGAGGATGCTTTTGGGTTAAGAGCAGGGAGGTAGAGGCGGCCATGATGGAACTGGGCAAGGGTTAGGAGTCATGGGACTGGCCAGCGCAGGGCTTCCCTGGAACCTGCATATGTCAGCCCTCCCCAGATGGCATCATCATTTCCATTTTATAAGATGTAGAGCCTGCAGTTTAGGATCTGGACTTGAAGCTAGGTCTTTGAGGCTCCCTGCCGCCTGCTTTCCCTGCTGCCTTTGGCTGCCTTCCAGATGTTTGAGAGGGGAAAAGCCATTTATTGAACATCTGCGGTGTTTCCTGCACTGGGCTGGGTGCTTTTCATTGATTATGCTTAATGCTCAATATAACTCAGCAAGGTAGGTTTTATCCTCCTTATTTACCATTGGCAAGAAAGCACAGAGAATCTAAGTGACTTGCTGTCAAACAGCTAGCAGAACACAGAGCTGGGATTTGAGTGTGTCAGGCTCTAAGGGGTCACATTCTGTCCCCTGCACTGTGCTGCCGCAAGTCTTGCTCTATTGCCCAGGCTGGAGTGCAGTGGCTTAATCTCGGCTCACTGCCACCTCCACCTCCTAGGTTCAAGCAACTCTTGTGCTTTAGCCTCCCAAGTAGCTGGGATTACAGCTGTGCTTGGGAGGCTGAGGCACAACCGTGCCCGGCTAACTTTTGTGCTTTTGTAGAGACAGGGTTTCATCATGTTGCCCGGGTTGGTCTTGAACTCATGGGCTCAAGCAATCCACCTGCCTTGGCCTCCCGAAGTACTGGGATTACACGTGTGAGCCATCGTGCTTGACCTTGGCCTGGGATTTTTGAGGAAGTGAAGTCCAGCTGCCAGAACCTTCCTGCCCCTGCTGACCCCCTGAGGCACCTTCCTCTGATTGTTGGGCAGGAAGCTGGCAGCTGTGGGCAGGGGAGGCTGTGCATAGCTGAGGAATCCTGGAAGGCCAGACCCAGAACGGAGTACTCTGCCTCCATCTGCATTTATCCCTACAGATGCCGCATGAGTTGGTTGTATAGCAAGAATGGGCCAATCTGGACCCTGCCTCCTGCCTCCTCTCTTGCAGCCAGAGGGTGAGTGACTGTGGCCGAGGGTCTCTGTGGTTTGGGCTCGCATGGGCTCGAGCAGTGGTTCCCAATGGGGTGGTATCAACCCCAGCGAGCATGAGGCAATTGGTGGGGCGACTTTTTTTTTTTTTTTTGTCTTCAAGCATAGTAATTCCTGATTATTCATGTAAAAATACATATTATTTTATTGTAAATTGCTTTTTTTAATTTCTCCTTTGTTATAGTTAGGGTATTATCTAGTTATTTTAAATGATAGAGATGATAATTGTATTGATGAATTTCAATTCAGGATGGAAGAGTGGAAGTTAAATATTTGTTTTTAAAATGGGGCATGGGGGCCAGGTGTGGTGGCTCACACTTGTAATCCCAGCACTTTGGGAGGTTGAGGCGGGCGGATCATCTGAGGTCAGGAGTTTGAGACCAGCCTGGCCAACATGATGAAACTCCATCTCTACTAAAAATACAAAAGTTAGCTGGGCGTGGCGGTGGGTGTCTGTAATCCCAGCTACTCGGGAGGCTGAGGCAGGAGAATCACTTGAACCCAGGAGACAGAGGTTGCAGTGAGCCGAGATTGCACCACTGCACTCCAGCCTGGCAACAGGGTGAGACTCTGTCTCAAACAAACAAACAAACAAACAAAAAAAGAAAGCGGCATTGGATCCAAAAGGGTGACAGATTCTGCTTGGCAGTGGTTTGTTGATTCTTGGGCCCTGCACCTCTACAGACTGCTTTTGGCCAATCCATATAACTTACTCCCTCCAGGAGAGGTTGCAGGACATGCCCTCTTCCACACTGAGGCTTCCTCTCTAGACAGGCTTTGTTAACATCAATAACTAGTGGCTCTAGCCTCAGATCTTTTTGACACTTTGTGTGTCCTGACTCACCTCTGAGCTGAGACATGATTGGATGCCTAGGTTCCTCCTTGGGTTCCACACCCCCAAGCCTTATATAAGGGTTTCTGTTCCTACCTTGACTTTCTAGGGGCTCAGTTTAAAAGATGTGCATTCCTGAAACACTGTAAAAACCCTAGAAGAAAACCTAGGCAACACCATTCAGGACATAGGAATAGGCAAGGACTTCATGACTGAAACACCAAAAGCAATGGCAACAAAAGCCAAAATAGACAAATGGGATCTAAGTAAACTCCAGAGCTCCTGCAGAGCAAAAGAAACAATCATTAGAGTGAACCGGCAACCAACAGAATGGGAAACAATTTTTGCAATCTAGCCATCTGACAAAGGGTTAATATCCAGAATCTACAAAGAACTAAAACAGATTTACAAGAAACAAACAAACCCATTCAAAAGTGGGTGAAGTATATGAACAGACACTTTTCAAAAGAAGACATATATGAGGCCTACAAACATATGAAAAAATGCTCATCATCAGTGGTCATTAGAGAAATGTGAATCAAAACTACGTTGAGATACCACCTCACGCCAGTTAGAATGGCGATCATTAAAAAATCTGGAGACAACAGATGCTGGAGAGGATGTGGAGAAAAAGGAACACTTTTACACTGTTGGTGGGAGTGCAAATTAGTTCAACCATTATAGAATACAGTGTGCAATTCCTCAAGGATCTAGAAATAGAAACTCCATTTGACCCAGCAATCCCATTACTGGGTATATACCCAAAGGATTATAAATCGTTCTTTTATAAAGACACATGCACATGTATGTTCATTGCGGCACTGTTTACCATAACAAAGACCTGGAACCAACCTACATGCCCATCATTGATACACTGGACAAAGAAAATGTGGCACATATACACCATGGAATACTATGCAGCCATAAAAAATGACGAGTTCATGTCCTTCGTAGAGACATGGATGAATCTAGAAACCATCATTCTCAGCAAACTGACACAAGAACAGAAAACCAAATGTTTTCACTCATAGGTGGGTGATGAACAATGAGAACACTTGCGCACAGGGAAGGGAGCAAAACCTACTGGGCTAGGTTGAGGGGGAGGGGAGGGGAGGGGAGGGAAGGGGAGACACAGGGGGGCAGGGAGAATGGGGAGGAATAACACAGGGAGGAATGCCTGATGTAGGCGACGTGAGTTGGGGGGGATGGAGACAGCAAACCACCACGGCATGTATGTACCTAAGCAACAATCCTGCAGGATGCAGGATGTGCACGTGTACCCCAGAGCCCAAAGTATAATTAAAAAAAGAAAAAAAAAAGAGATGTGCATTCCATAGGTCCCCTTTAGCTGGGTGGTACCAGGCACAGTGTTCTTTCAACCAGTGTTTATTGAGTGCCTCCTGTGTCCCGGGCAGTGTAGGAAATAAAGTGTAAGTTGCTTCATTCTTGCCTAGGAGAAGCTCAAAATTCAAGTGCATTCACAGTCGTTAATCAGTGGTTTGCATCTCTTTTTCTATCCTAGCCCAGCAGAGGGCTGGACACACTCCTGTCCGTAACAGTGGCTTGCTGGGGAAGCCTGTGGCTCGATCCCTCTACCTCCTCATCCCATCAGGATCCAGACTAGGGCATTTCGACACATTACCTACCTGTGGTTGGGAGTCACTGTGCAAGCTTGGGAAGAAAATATCCATAGTCACTTTCTTTGTTTCTTATAAGGCTGAGGGCAAAGACAGAAGCAAGGACGAGGAGAGCTGCTGACGGAGTCCCGGACATGGCCTGGCATCGTGGGTCATCTTCTACTTGAGATATTTTTTGGACAACAGAAGTACAGAAGAAGGAAAAAGCAACTGTATTGAAATCTCCTAAATGTAGCAGATTTGGAGCCCACAAACACTTGTTTTAGGGAGGAGGGACTATTGCTCTTAACCTAGAAGTCATCCCCCATGGTCTTTAAGACATTTGGAAATGTGTGTACAAGTGAAATTATTTTACCTGCTTCTCTTGAACACATCATGTATCATATCCAATTTTATTTCTAAACGTACCCTTTAAAAATATTATTTCTGTGCACTTCTGATTCTGTTACTAGTAAGAACAATGAAACCCGATTGGCTATAGATTGCCCCACTAACTGCTCTTTTATTCAATATGAAAGATGTTAAATGAGATAGCCCAAATGTTTTTGAGCTTGTATACATGCATTAAAACACACAAAAAGTCACTCTCATGATTTAAAAACTTGACTCTCAAGTGTTAGAAGCTGCTCTATGGTATTAAAGCGCTGAACCATCATTGTTCTGATGCCACTGAATTTAATTTACTCCTGCAGTTCACCTTTTGCCTGCTAGTGGCATCATCTGGCATTCTGTGGAGACACAGGGTTGAATCTGCATGTTTGAAACGATGAAGCGAACTCTTGAAGGAACAGGTCTGAGGACACACTTCATTAGCTTCATTTTCTGTGGGTAAACAATGGCAACACTTGGGATACCTGAGGATAAATCAGGGACAATGGGCCATGGAATCAGAGAGTTCACTTTTTGTTTGTTTGTTTGTTTGTTTGGGTCACTCTGTCACCCAAACTGGAGTGCAGTGGCACGACCTTGGCTCCACCTCCTGTGTTCAAGCGATTCTCCTGCCTCAACCTCTGAGCAGCTGGGATTACAGGCACACTCCACCACACCTGGCTGATTTTTGTATTTTTAGTAGAGACAGGGTTTCACCATGTTGGCCAGGCTGGTCTCAAACTCCTGACCTCAAGTGATCCACCTGACTCAGCCTCTCAACGTGTTGGGATTACTGGAATGAGCCACCGAGCCTGGGCGTTTTTTTTTTGTTTTTTTTTTTTTAACCATCTCCTTTGCATTTCAGAAGTGTCCAGGTTTGACACTGCCAAGACCTTTTCTTCCTTTCCCTGGATTGACTTTCAGGCCCCAGAGCCTGTAGGGGCAGGTTCTCCAGGCAAACAGCAGGTTTCACTGGCCTGTGTCTCTACTTGATTCATACTCAAGGGCTAGAAGATAGTATTTATCAGAAAAACTGCTCAGACCCTAGACCCCTTCTTTTCTGGAAAGGGCTTGAAATAGAGTGTAGTAGTATACTACAAAAATCAACTCTTAGAATTCCTATGCAGGCTGGAGAGGATACAGAAAAGGACTGAGGTATAAACAATCTGGCAGAAGTGCCCTAGAGGATCCCAGGGAGGGAGAGGAGAGACGGAGGGTTGGGAGAGAGGTGGCCAAAGGGCCTTTCTTATGCCCGGCCCATTCCCTTCCTCTTCTCCTGGTTACACCTGCTCTCGCCTCAGCTCACCTCCCTGTCTAGACCAGTGTCTCCTTAGTCCCTCGCTCACAGGCCTCTGTTTCTCAGGCCTTGCAGTCTTGCATCCATGGTTCTTAGATTAATGTGTCCCCACTGGACTCTCAGCTCCAAAAGGTAATGTCCTTTGAGTTCACTGTTGTGTCTCTGGCATCTACGGTGTACTGTGCATTTTACTGAGTGATGTATGTCACCCAGTTTATTATTACTCTTGTAGAACTGCAGGGAAAGGGGTGGGGCGAAGGATATGAGACAAGAGAAAGTGGAGAAAGGCTGTAGGCTTTGGATTCGAGTGCTGCTCCTAAATCTCAGGAACGTGTCTGCGTAGGAGGTAGGACAGACACTTCTATTTGGATAGTTTTTTTTTTTTAACCTGATGTCACCTCTACACTCCTGTTTTATCTATACCTTAGAAGCACACCATTATTTCCAAGACTGTGTGCAGACACTGACAGTCATCTCCCATTTCTGGAAGAATTTTTAGCTGGGCACGTGGCCATCTGATAGACATTTCTCTGCTTTCTTTAAATGGGTGGGGACATGTGACCAAGTTCTGGCCCCTACATTCTGGACAGAAGTAATGGCTCCAAATTCCAATCTGTGACCTTAGGAGGGACCTGCTTTCCGCTTCCTCTTTCTCCACTTCCAACTGGCTAGAGAGTGAAGTTGGTTGGGAGCCTTCTTTGGCCACATGGATGAGGCTGCTCCCAAGGGATGGTTAGTGGCATAGCTTGGGCCTGGCAGTAGATAAGCACTGGGCTGTCACTTGGACGGCTGATGTGAGAGAGATGCATTTCCATTTGGGAGTAGCGACAGCAGCTGAATCGACTTCCTCATTCTGGCATCATCTAGAGCAGTGAGGAAATGAAGAGAACAGAAGCAGTATTTCTGGGGTAGTGAACTAGTGGTAAAAATGTGATCATTTATTTGTAGAATGAATGACAGTACTTTGGCTGTCACAGTGATTCCTGCTTGGTAAACTGGGAACAGTTGAATAGTTTCTCTTGCTCAGATGTGCTGTTTCCTTCCCATTATCCTAGTCCTCATTTTCTTACTTTAAATAGAGATAGGAGCTAAAAGTTCTGGACCTGGAGCCAGACAGCTCTGACTTTGAAATTGCATGACTGTCACTTATTAACTACTCTGTTTCCATAACCATGTCATAAAGCTATTGTATGACATGGTTATGGAAACAGAGTAGTTAATTAATGACAGTCATGCAATTGTAAGGGCATAGGGAGATAACGGACACGGAACTTGGTCAGAGGAAGCACTAAATAAGGGTTTTCTATGCTATTGTAAGGTCTCTCTCTCTCTCTCTCTCCGTGTGTGTGTGTGTGTGTGTGTGTGTGTGTGTGTGTGTGTATGTACATTAGTCAGGATTTTTTCTTTAGCAACTGATGGAAACCTAATGAAACTGGTTTGAGAAAAAAGAATTTATTGGCTCATATAGCTAAAAAGTCCAGGGCTAGTCTAGCTCTAGGCATAGCATTAATGTCTGTCATTGGACATAGGCTTGTTCTAACTCTCAAGTTTATTCGTGTTAGTACTATTCTCTGGCAGGTTTTGTCTATGAGGTTATAGACAGCTGAGATGGCTGTCCCCAGTCTCCAGATTTCTATCTTTATCTTTTCAGCAACTCTACCAGGAAATCTCTAATGAAAGTCTGGGAAATGATACCTCACTGGTTGTGAGACACTACCCCATCCTCTAATCAGTGCCACTAGCCAGGCAGATAACAAGTTTGAATTTGCCAGGCCTGGGTCATATGCTCATAGCGGGATTGAGTCCATTCTTCTTAAACCACGTACGGTGTCAGTAGTAAAGAGGTGGTCACAGTAGGGAAAGTGGGTGCTTTTTTTTTTTTAGACAGAGTCTCACTCTGTCACCCAAACTGGAATGCAGTGGCGTGATGTTGCCTCACTGCAGCCTCCACCTCCCAGGTTCAAGTGATTCTCCCCCCTCAGCCTCCCAAGCAGCTGGGACTACAGGCACATTCTATCACGCCTGGCTAATTCTTGTATTTTTAGTAGAGACAGGGTTTCATTACGTTGGCCAGACTTGTCTTGAACTCCTGGCCTCAAGTGATCTGCTCACCTTGGCTTCCCAAACTGCTGGGATTACAGGTGTGAGCCATTACACCCAGCCTGGGGTGCTTTTATTAGAAGAGGGAGTACATGCCAGGCAGGCAACAACTTTTTTTTTTTTGAGACAGAGTCTTGCTCTGTTGCCCAGGCTGGAGTGCAGTGGCATGATGTTGGCTCACTGCAACCTTTGCCTCCCAGGTTCAAGTGATTCTCCTGCCTCAGCCTCCCAAGTAGCTGGGATTACAGGCGTGTACCAGCACGCCTGGCTAATTTTTGTATTTTTAGTAGAGGTGGCGTTTCACCACGTTGGCCAGGCTGGTCTGAATCTCCTGACATCAAATGATCCACCCACCTTGACTTCCCAAAGTCTGGGATTACAGTCATGAGCCACATGCCCGGCCTCAGGAACTGTTTTTATAGTTTGTAAAAGACTCAGCTGAGTTCCTGGCATAGTGAGCACTAACAAACATAAACCATCAAGCCTCGGCTCTGTCTTCTGGTTCATGGTCATTCTGCACAGAGATGCTGTATATAATCCCTTTTTTTCTTTGAAACTTGTGTTATACTCACCTCCTCTAAAAAGCCATCCCGGAACAACGCTGGACTTATTTCTGCAGAGGCCCATATTTCCACTAAAATTCCCTATGAACCTTCTTCCTAAGTGATTAAGAGCCCACTTCTTTCCTTCCTACTCTCCCTCCTTCCTGCTCCGTATGTCTAGGAGCTATTTACTAAACAAGAGGGTTACTGAGTATCTATAAAGAGCCCTAGAATTAGGGTGCAGTTATTTTGCAGCTGCTGTACCATCCACAATCATTTCCATCCATATCTTCTTGTGTTTGGAAGACTCTACAGTCTAATGAGGCTGTTCAAAACCTCCAATTTGCCATTTTGAAACATAAATTATTAGACACCAATAGTTCCACCCACACAGTTATTGTTAGTACCTAGCATAACACTGTAAGACATCCTGCAAGGAACTAACGATAAATAAAATGAAACTGCTCACTGGAGAACTAAGCTGTAATGTCAAGACAATGGTTTTGAGGAGATGTAAAACCACCATAAAGGGACAACTGACTCCTAGGCCTGGGGTCAGGGGAGAGATTTAGGTGGCAAACACGGACCATTTGAGAAGCCAGAAAACAAATAAGTGCATAAGCAATGGATGGCAGTGTAAGATCAATCATGAGGACCTGGTCAAAGAACTTAGGACAGTGTCTGAGATCTGAGGCAAGAATATTCCTAATACAAAAAGACTCGCTTCAGACTCTCTAAGCCTGGTGATTTTGAATATTTGATTCCTCTAAGTCCCATGTTCAGAGCTTGTGATCTCTAAGCAGCCCTCTGAGCATTATTTGGCTTCACAGGAAAAGTTAAGTCTAATTCCTGCTTTTTGGTGACAATTTTATTAGGTATATTTAAGATTTACAACATGATGCTATGGGATACATATCGATAATAAGATGGTTGCTACAGTAAAGCAGATTAACATCGTCTGGTTTTTGTGTGATAAGAGCAGCTAAAATCTACTTATTTAACAAAAACTCCTAATACAATTGTATTAACTTTAGCCCAATCTCTAGACTTGTTCATCTTATCTGCTATTTTATATCCTCGGCCTACATCTCCCCATTTCCTCTTCCCCAATCTGTGGTAATGTTTCTCTGTATATTTGAGTTCTTTTTTAAAAAATTAAATATTCCACATGTGATCATGCAGTATATTTCCTTGTGTATGGCATATTTCACTTAGCATAATGTTCTCCAGGTCCATCTATGTTGTAGCAGATGGCAAGAACTCCCTCTTTTCCAAGGATCAATACTATTCCATGGCATGCATTGGCCATATTTTCTTTTATTTGCCCATTGACGGCCATTTAGGTTGTTTCCAAATTGTAGCTATTGAGAATAACACTGCTGCAAACATGGGAGTGCAGATATCTTTATGAGGTGGTGATTTCATTTTTTTTTTTGAGACAGAGTCTCACTCTGTAACCCAGGCTAGAGCTCAGTGACACTATTTCAGCTCACTGCAACCTCTGCCTCCTGGGTTCAAGCGATTCTCCTGCCTCAGCCTCCCAAGTAGCTGGGATTACAGACCCCTGTCACCACACCCGAGTAATTTTTGTATTTTTAGTAGAGATGGGTTTTCACCATGTTGGTCAAGCTGGTCTCGAACTCCTGACCTCAGGTGATTCACCCACCTTAGCCTCCCAATGTGCTGGGATTACAGGCGTGAGTCACTGTGCCAGGCCAATGATTTCATCTTTTTGGGTATATACCTACTCAGAAGAGGGTCAGATAACAGTTCTACTTTTAATTTCTTCGGAGTCTCCATAGTTTTTCACAATGGCTACGCCAATCTACATTCCCACCAACAGTGTACTAGGCTTCTCTTTTCTCCACAATCTCATCAACATTTATCTCATGTCTTCTTGTTAACAGCCATTCTTACAGACGTGAGGTGATAGCTCAAAGAGGTTTTAATTTACATTATTCTTCTGATTACTGATGCCAAACACCTTTTCATATATATACCTATTGGCTATTTTTTAATGTCTTCTTTGGAGACATGTCTGTTTAGGTCCTTTGCCCATTTTAAATTATTTGTTTTTCCACGATTGAGTTATAAGGGTCTATCTCTTACTGAAAGTCTGCTAGCATTACAGTTTTGTAGCTCATAGTTTTTTGAGCACTGTTATAATCTGACTTTCAGAAATAGATCTGCTTCCCTTACAATGAAAAAATCTAGTTCTGGGTGAGGCTGACAGACCCTTGATCAAAGTACATTCTCCTTGGTAATGAAGGGTCCTTGTGAGGTCTCTTGCGAGAGCCAACTGGTGTAACCTTAGACAAACTCCTAATTCTCTATGCAAAGTCATTATCACGGTTTTCTATAATAAAGATAAACAAGCGGGAACTAATAAAAATTTAATGTATTTTTTAAAGATAATACTTAAATATTAAGAAAGCTAAGATTTAAAAGGTGTTGACTAGATTTTTCTACACTTTATATTTACATAATGACTGATTTTACCTTTCCACAAGTAGTTGCCCAGGAGGAAGAAAAAGCAACCTAACAGTCTCTGGGGCTTGCACTGCCTTCTGAGGCCAGCTATCCCCTAGCATAGCAAAGAAATGAAGAAGCAAGTGTCCACTCCCCACCCTTCTCCCCTGCTCCCTTTTGTTATTTGAAGTGTTTCTGAGTAACAAATGCAAAAAACTAGGTTTGGATATAA